CGTGGGGCAGGAGACTCATGAGCCGGAGACGTACGAGCCGACGATGCACGCGCTGGAGACACTCCTATGTTATACAGCTTAGAAACCCATGATATACCGCACAATGCATACATGTTAGTGTCAAGAAAGTGATGAAAGGTAGAGGAATGCGTGCCTCTGGCTTCGTTTCTCCAGTTCAAAGGAGTTACAAGGGTTTAGCTTTTTCTCGATCGAATGCTCGGCGGAAGTTTGTGGGCCACATTGGAATGATCTATATCCATTCGAGATGAATTTAAAATTGGTTTGACACATTATCCATTAAAACTGGAGTCTTAAGAAGTGTAATAAACTCCGATCGTACTCGACAAGACTTCCTAAAGTCCCCCCCCCCCACACACACACACACAGAATAGGTAACTCGTTGATAACTCCAAGCTCAAAACTTTTGGCCAGGTCCTAACACGGTACCTTTAGAATAAAACTGTCGTTAAGATTATCGTTGGAGGTATCCTAAGCGATTAGAGAATTCTAGGCAAAACCGTACCTCTGCAGAAAAGCTGGACACAAGATACCGGGAATTTAGAATCAGGCATTATAGACCCCATGTTTTTGAAAGGGAGGGCGAGAAACAACTCACAATTCTCCCGATGACGCACAAACAAACCCGACACTATTGGCGTTTGAGAGCCATGAGCTTCCTTCAATCGGATCCCAAGAGCCCTACTGGGAACTAAACGCCACGGTTTCCCACTTGGTAGGGGCGATAAGGGCTTGACGTACAAATAAAGCAACGTTACGAGTGCGATTGGTGATTTGCAGCGGATTTCCCATACATCAAAACATGGATCCATGTTTCCTGTGACGAGCACCTTTCATAGAGGAAGTGCTAAAGGTAAATTCACTATTCCCAGTCTCAAAGGAACTGCTTGCTACCTAGAAGAGTACATTTAAGACTGATGCATTATTGGTAAGCTTAGTCTGGTTTCTAATACAAACCATAAACCATCTTTAGTGAAGCTATGTAGATATACAATGGTTGGCTCCTAGTACCTCTGGTACCATATACCAGGTAATTACTAGATTGACAGGTCACTGATCTTGGGTACACAGGATTTGTACCCGTACATTTCCATCCTGGATTGGCGACTCATGTGTGCATGTGCTGCATGCGGTTATACCACTGGATTGAAGAACTGACTATGGCAACAGTTTAGAGTGGAGTTTTCAAGTGGATTTGTTTATTTTGACTTTACTGTTAAGACGAGTGCTGTTTTATCTACTCGTACGAAGTACTTACGTTCTACATACATGCAAGTTATCTTGTTCTTCCTACGCTTCTACCTATTATTCATGTCGTCGCTTATTTACCACTCCAAATTCTGGAAATCATTGCCTCCATATCTAGGGATCATGACGGTTCTTGTTGACACACTGTGCTGATCCACACGCGCAGTAGATATTTTTGATCGGGTCCGTAATTCGATATGATTTCTTCGCCTGCTTGAATGGCCCGAGCAGCAACAATCGCAATTTTGGTTCCGTGATCCACATTGAGTTGTTCGATGTGACAATTCGCTTCACAGCCGTGGCTAATGAAACGTCCCAAGTTTCCGATAGCTCGCGCGGCCTGGCACACTTCGATTACGCTAATTCTTTGCTTCAGCTTCACTGGATCCACCACACGTAGATTCCTCTCGTAAGGGCAGATTACGTCATTTTCGCGAATCCGACGAGAGTTATGCAAGCTAATACCCCCGTTCTTCACTCGTAGCTCCAATTCACAAGATTCCTTCATTCGTCTTATATAGGCATTTGAAATCTGGCTGCAAGTTCTCGTCACACACACCACGTCTTCTTTGTGATTGCGACAATCACTCTGTGCGCATGGTTTGGCACAACCGCAAGGTGTTTCTACGTTATCGACGTCGAACTGGTTTTGAGAGTTAGCTGCACTTTTATCCTGGCGCTTATCGTCGCTGGGGTACTCAACAATGGTTCGTTCTGGCAGAGCACATTGCTCATCATAATTTCTCGCTAAAGTGCCTTGTTCGAGGGTATTTGCGATGGCTTTTGGTATTTGCCCCTTGGTACGGCGAATGCGGGCCCGACTTTCTTCGCACTTCGCATCTTGGAGTAGCGTTTTTTATGCGACTTAGCTGATGTTAGCTAACGAAAATGAGCTTTCCTGTATGATATCTAACAAAAATCTCCCGCTGAGTAGGCGATTGAGCAACCAGAGTCGGATCTCGTCCCACGACCGATCTGGTGCTTTAATCCCTTGATTGCTGGTGTTCCCGTTCGCTTGTATTTCGTTTACGTTTGCTGGATGCTTGCAACTAGTCGCAAGGAGAAGTTGTTTCTCGATATAATTTTGGCAATGGGCCTCCAATGTCAAAATTATTTATTGATAGATTATCAGTTATTTTATCTAGATTATAGCTAGATTGCATTTTTTTTTTGTTTTACACTAAAATAAGCTTAATGATATGTATTGGACAGGCGGCTTTACTTGTTTTCAGTAAAGCCGTTAACCTACCCATTACTTCGTCTGTCCCACGAATTTATGCCTACTTCGTTTTTTTTTTTTTGTGGTTCACTCAAATAGTTACAATCATACTGTTGGACAAAACTTTACGCGTTTAGGGTTGTTACTGATCAAGTAAAATGGATGGCGGTAGACACTAATTCTTCACAGCAGAACTCACCAAACCAACAACTGGAAATGGCACGCACGCTCGGCGCAAGGCTATTCCGGCCAACACTCGTGTTGCGGTGGCGGTCTTCCTTGCTACACGAAGCAAAGAGGGCCACCTTCGTTACGGCACGGTGTCGCTAGCAGTGAAGGTCTTCTACATAAGCCGGGCAGCCATCGAGCAGATCTGGGCCCTCCGAAATGAGCCATCATCCCTCGTACTTCCGCGCAAGGCGTATCCGCGACGGTCTACTCGTCTGAGTAAAGAAGAAATCACAGAGCGGGTCGCTGCCGCGCCATTGTGCCAGAGGCAGACGATACGATCACTTGCCGCTGCCTCAGGGATCGCTAGGTCAACGCTACACCGCCATTTAAAAAACAGGATTCTACGGAGATTCATATGCAGGGTGAAACCGAAGCTTTCTGAAGCACACAAGTTGCAACGCTTATCATGGGC